TTAGTTGTAGTTACTGAGCTGTTTTCTCTTCAGGTGCGCAAGTGACAGAAGCCAGTCACCGAGTCGCTGAAGTTGCTGCTTGCACATGCATTTGAAAAGCTGAAGCCGGCAAAGAAGCCAGCTGAGTTCAAGGTGAAAGTCACAGGTACATGACCTTTCATGTGCTTTAACCCATTTATTTACTGACTTCCTGCATGTGCAGTTGATAAACAATTCGGATACGCTCATTTGAACAGCCTTCAGAATGGCAAACAAGTGGGTGTTTGAGGACCCCTTGCATCCTCCCACCAAGCCTGGCCATTCAAAGCGATTGGTCACATGGTGGAGGGACATGAACCTGGCCAAAGCATGCTTGGCCAAGCCTGGAAGCAAAGCGGCAAGTCTCTTTAAGTATGTTGACTCGCCCCAGGCACATGTGGTACGTTAGCGCATAACGCACACAAACACTTAGCGCATAACACACACAACTTCGTTCTCATCTTTTCTTGCAGGCTGCAAAGAAAAAGGCAAAGAAGAAAGAGTTCAAAGAACAGGATGGCAAACGGGACAGCAAATGGGACGGCGAACGGGATGGTGAACAGGACAGTGAACAGGATGGTGAATGGGACGGCAAATGGGACGGTGAACAGGATGGTGAACGGGATGGCGAACAAGACAAGAAGTGAGATACAACAAGTTTATTTGATGGTATCAAGGTATTTTCCATATCATCATTCCTCTTACGTATTTACTAACATTTGAAGTTGCAGGTGGATTTCAACTGGTGCGACATGCCTCATGTTCATAGCGAAGATGACAACGACAGCAACAAGGACGACGACAACGATATCAATAACAAGTACAACAACGACAACAGTGACAACGGCAACGGCAACGGCGAGGAAGCCAGCCAACCAGACACTCACCCAGAGGACGTTGCGTTGCCGCCAGCAAGAGTTGCTCGTGGCAACACAAGTTCACTGGTACGTTATTTCGCTATTTCTTTCCTCCAATTGAATGCTTTATTGACATAAACGTTTAGTCCACTCTGCAGGTTGTTATGAAGAACTCCTGCGGAGTTAAGCGTACAGGTCCAAGCACGTACGACGTGGTGCCGAAGAAGACGTGCACCAAGTCGGCCTCCAGCGGCTCTCGCGAGGATTTGGAGGACCAGGAATCTTCGCTTTGCAGCCAACTGGCGGCATGGCTAGCGTCGCCAGAGGGCTCGCCGCTGTTGCGTAAGCGCAAGCGTGATTCGTTGGTCGACGCCGAGACCACGACGCGACCCCAGCCTCCGGCCGACGCTGTTCTTTGTACGAAAAAACAACGAACTACGTCTGCATCGACCCAGGAGCGGTCGACTCAAGGGGATGACCAGGCCGCGAGTGCTGCAAAGCAACTCACGCGCCTGGCCAATACGCAGCCCGGCGCCCAGCAGCCTCGCCAAGATCCGGACGAGCCGACCGAGGCCGAGATTGACTCGGTCTGCGAGCACTCGGCCCCTAGGAAGAGCGGGCGGAAGCGGGTGCTGACCGAACGCGCACTCGAACACGCCCAGCAATCACCTGCCCCTGCCCGCGTCAACGACGGTACATCTTTCTTTGCTTCATATCTCATTGAATTCATCACTCACAGTTCCTCTGCAATTGTAGTAAATTGTGAATGGTTAGTCTCACTCACAACCTCTGGGCTTCCTCGGAACGGCATCACGCGTCACCCGGCAGACCTGAAGGTGGTCGACGGGGACAAGCTCCGCCAGCGGATTAGCAATCTGCCCGCCTGGGCTGTTCCTCCGCCTGCAGCCCTAGAGGCTGCGATCAGATCCGTAACGGGCGCGGACGACTTAGAGTGGGACCCCATGGCGAATGGAACCATTGCGCTCAAGTTCGATACGGAGCAAGTCTGGATGGCCCGCCGGAACATCAAGATCTACATCGCCTACAGGCCTAGTACGCCAACGCCACAGTACATGCGTATTCACTAACTCCGCGTTGTGCAGAGTGATCGAGCGGGGACGGCGGACGGCGGACGGCGGACGGTGGACGGCGGACGGCGGACGGCGGACGGCGATGTACGGCAGCAGCTACGGCGGACGGCGGACGGCGAACAACAGCCAGGCTAGAGGGCGGACCACAACACTTTGCTGTAATGTGTGTATTGAATATATGCGACACCAACAAAATCACCTTCTTCCCACCTCGAAGGCATGGTTGTTGTGGTCATGTCCACCTCGCGATGTGCTTCTCTCTCGTTCCCACCTCGAGGTGTTCCCAAGGTGGACTTGAAGATGGTGTGTTCGATCTTCTGTCCACCTAGGTGCACCCGAGGTGGACTTGAAGATGGCACGTTCCGTCTTCTGTCCACCTAGGTGCACCCGAGGTGGACGGGAGTGATGGAATGTTCCATCTTTTGCCCACCAAGGCGAGCTGGTTCGTCTCTGGGTCACCTTTTTGGGCGGGAAAAGGTGGAATCGCCTGTCTTGGTGGCCAAAACCAGCTTTCGCCCATCAACCATCCTGGCAGTGTTGCTCCAGAGCCTCCGCGCCGACGGATGTCCGTGGGACAAGTCCACCACCTCTGCCGCGGCCGCGGCGGGCCAGCTCGGCGTGCTCAAGTGGGCACTGGCCAACGGGTGTCTCCTCGCCGAGCCCATCTGCAACGAGACCGCAGCGGCCGGCCAACTGGCGGTGCTCCAGCACCGCACCTGCGCGCCATCGGTTGCCCGTGGAGCAAGTGGACCTGCGCCAAGGCCGCCCAGGGTGGCCACCTCGAGCTTCTGCAGTGGGCGCGGGCCAACGGGTGTCCGTGGGACCAGATGACGTGCGCGCTGGCGGCTGAGGGCGGTCACATGGAAGTTCTGCAGTGGGCGCGCGACAACGGGTGCCAGTGGGACCGGGGCACCTGCCTGCGTGCGGCCGGCGGCGGCCAGCTAGAGGTGCTCCAGTGGGCGCGGGCCGGCGGTTGTGCGTGGGACGAATGGGCGCCAGCGCTGGCGGCCGGCGGCGGCCACCTTGAGGTCCTACAGTGGCTCCACGCCAATGGCTGCCCTTGGGACGCCAAAACCTGTGCATCGGCGGCCGAGGGGGGCCACCTGGACATACTTCAGTGGGCGCGGGCCAACGGGTGTCTGTGGGACGAGAAGACGTGCGCCAGTGCGGCCGATCAGGGCCAGCTGGAGGTGCTCCGTGGGCGAGCGCC